CCGCCTGGCTCCCCACTTGGCGGGGCTTAAAGGGGCCAAGACAGGGCGGGAGGGTGGCAGGGAATGACTGGACGGCTGCAGACCTTGGGGGTGGAGGGACTGTGTCCCCAGCGCAGCCAAACCAACCAGGAGGTGTCCGGATCCTCGTCTGGGATCAGGTGTGTGGCATTCCAGCTCCAGGCTTGTTCCCAGGGGGACTGTGTTTGGGTCCACAGAACGAGGGGCAGCCTGGACTGTGAGCTGCAGCCAGGACCCTGCCTCCTCTCCAGGCCCCAAGCCTCTAAAGACAGGGCCGAGGGCAGACACTCTGCGGGGGCTGAGGCTCCCGGCCTCTTGGGCACTTGAGGATTCTGGGGTGGGAGGAGGGTGGAGCAGCCAGGGGGGCTGGGCCAGGGCTCCTCCCAACTGCAGGTCCCAGCCGCCTTCCCAGGTGATCCCGCCCCCAGCCCAGACAGCTGTTTTCTGTCAGAAGCTGGCTGGAGTTAGAATTTTCAGTGCTCCTGGGGTGGAGGACAGGCCCCTCCCCAGGGAGAGATGGACTTCTCCAGCTCTCACCCAATAGGGCAGAGCTGGCCTAGCCTTGCTGGGGTCACTAGTTACATTTCTCTTCCTTTGCTGTCGGGGTCTTACAACTAGTTACTCTCTGTCTACCTAAGATACAATTTATGTGTGTGCCCTTTTGCCCACTACCCTTCAGAACACCTTTTGCAGGCCAGGAGCAGGGGTAGGGGCATGAGGTCCTGGAGAAGGGGTCATGGCCTTTGGGATGGACATTACTATCTTGGGTCTGTCTGCACCCCGGTGGATTCAGGTCGTAGATTGAGCAGACACCTGCCTCTCTGAGGATGAGGAGCCGAGTGTCTGTCTTTGCTACATCTTCACCCCCACTTCCTTGTTGATGCAGGCCCTTGTTCACCCTTGAATTTGACAGGACTGGAGAAGAACAGGAAGAATAGGGTGGGGCTTTGCAGGTCAGGGGAGACCTGGGGACCAGGGAGTGTCATCGGGCTGGTCCCCTCCAGGCTTCAGGCTCTGGACCTGCAGATCCATTGTCTGCCTGCACGTGCGTGGGGCAGGCTGGCGGGAGCCAGGGAGGCTACTGCTGCGTGTCTGTCTGGTTGGTCTCACCAGGCTGTTTTGGAAGGTGACAAAGCTTAGAGCAGGTGCTCCTGCCTGCAGTCCTGGGCCTTGTCTCAGGGAGGCTGCTATACCTCGGTTGAACGCAGCAGTGATCCTGGATAGCAAACATGGGTTTCTCCTGGGCCCAGTGGTCTGGCTAGCCCAGAGTGGGCCAGGGGCCCACCGAGTCCTTCAAAGCCCTGCTTTTGGCATTTTACAGATACTGAATGCCATGCCCCACCCCCACCGACTGATTCACCCTGCAGAGAACACCCAGGTCAGTTTCTCTCCTCAACGCAGGCTTCTCGGAAGCCCTCTGAGCTCCAGGGATGACCCCGAGGCTGAGCCTGGGGACGGTGGAAGGGCTGTGTGCCCAGCCGGTGGTTTGAAGGCTGTTGTGTGTCTCTGGCAGCTGTGTCTGGGGAGTAGCCCTCCCCACATTCTTTGGCTTGGGGCGCATGCGAGTGCCGCACTCACACATGGCACAGGTGGAGGCCCACTGGAGGTGGTGGCAGTGCCCCACTCGGAAGCCAAGATACCTGGTGGTTCTCCCAGGGAAGCCTGGGAGATTACAGTGCTGATAGGAACAGGGGACAGGGTGCTGCAGAGGGGCTGTGTCCAGGGTGTGTGCTGCAGACTGGATCCGGTGATTCCGGCGGTAAGGGTACTGTCCAGTGCAGACCTGCCGTGGGATCAGGGTTGGCAGGCCCAGGTGAGCACGTCATGTGTCATGGTGCAAGACAGTGTCACTGCCCCCGACGGCCAACAGGCATGCTGCCTGCCCTGGGATGTCCCCGTGCAGTCCAAGTCTGCCACATAGGAAGAGCATTGCTCTGGGTGGCAGCTCAAGGGAAAGAACCTGAGACCCTGAGTGTGAGGCTGCTCAGGAGCCCACTGGGCTGCTCAGGAGCGCACAGGGTTGGCAGGTGGTGGGAGCCGCCACAGGGTGGCCCTGCTGCTCATTTGGAGAGATGCATGAGCAGATAGGAAAGGATCTGGGGTGGCTGGGGGGAGCGCAACCATTTGGACTTGGTTGTGGTGTTCTCTCAGCATCACAGTGTGGAGCCTGGGCCTCAGGCCCTGTGCGTGAGTGTGGAGTTGCCCCGTGTACGCGTCCCAGCTGAGAGGCTGGCCCGATCTCCAGGGCCAGGATTGGATGAGAGGTTCTATGGGACAAAACAGTGACTCCATCTTGGACTTCTCTGTCCACTGTGCTAGCTGGAGAACCTGCCCTCCAAGGTAAAGAATGTTGCAGGACCAAGATGAGGGTCAGACTGGAGCTGCCCCAGGGGACCAGAAGAAAGAATCCCTGCCACTGGGTCACAGGCCTGCGGGGGTCGGGGGTGGGGCCCAATGACCATTGAGAGAGGCTGGGGTGGGCCTGGCCATCACAGCCTTACCAAGGTCATTCAGGTCATTGAGATAATAAGATAAGGTCCCTACTGATCAGAACATGAGCCTTGTAAGCCAACACAGAATGATCTAGAATACCCAGAGGCCCTTGCTGCATCTCTCAGGCTGAGAGCAAATGCTTCGGCCTCTTGCCCCCAGGCCTGGCCTCCCTGTCCTCCCAGCACTGACGGGCTGTCTCTTCCTGCCCACCTGGTTCTCCAGCCTGCAGCCTGCAGTGGCGGGATTGATGTGGTGTCTCTTCGGGTGAATATAGCACGTGGGGGCTGGGAAAGGTTGGGGGAAGGGAAGGGGGTTGCTAGGGAGCCTGGTGGCTCTAGCAGGACTTTCCATGCCCAACTATTGGGGTAAATATTTGGGTCCAATGGCGTAGGGTTTCTGTTGGGGTGAATGCAGCGCCAGGAGTTGGGGGCTACTTAAAGCTGGGCTGCCTGCTGCAGGGGCCTCCTGCCACAGCGCTCCTCCTTCCCATTAGAGGTGGGTGGCCAGCTTCCCCGGGAGGCCAGACCGTGGGGAGCCCTGGGGCTGACCAGTGGCTGCAGAACCGGGGTGAGAAGACTTGGTCTCCAGTTTACAGGGTGAACCCCACCCCTGTCCTGTCAGGAAGCCCTCCAACCCCAGTGGGTTTCAGGCCAGTGGGGGCAGGTCAGGGTCGGGGCATGTGGCCCTCTTCCTGGAGGGGACCCCCAGGTCTCTGCTGCTGAGCCAGGGCAGCGAGGTGGCCACTGGCTTCCCTTGCCCCTCCTCCAGCCACCAACCCAGCCATGGAGGCAGCCCATCCAGTTCCCTGTCCAGGCTGTCCTGAGCTGCCTCCTCTGTGGGTGGACCCTGAGCCACGAAGGGCAGCCCTTCCTCGTGGGAAGGGGTTACCTGTACCTGGTCTCAAGCCTGCA